ATATATATATACATAGTAAATAGTGCTCCTATGTATAGAATCTATGATTAAAAAATTGGTTTATTCTACTTCCGAACTGCTGAGTTCAATGCTTTTGTCACTTTCGGGTCTGGTTGAATAAGGTATTAATCTATCTGCTGCGCAAATGTTCTCATATGGTTTCTGTGATCGTTCTGTTTCTGGTATATCGGTTACAACATAACGATCCTGACCTAATACTCTGGATATGATATACGGTCCACTATATTTAGGCATCAATTTTCTGCTTTTTCCGTCATTAACGTTTAGTTGTGTTTTTAATAAGACTTGTTCACCAACTTTATATTGACGCGGCTTAACTCTTTTTTTGTCATAATAATGTTTCTGCAATTTTTGTTGTTCTTTGATAACCCTACCTACTTCTTTTCTTGCTTCATGACGATTTTCGAATCTGGTTACCTTCAGCGGCAAGGTTACTTTCCGTGTAAAAATGAGTCATCTATACCACGAGGTCTAAATCCAAAGAATAGTTCAAAGGGACTTTCGTTTATGCTTTTATTAATTGCACAATTTATTCCCTATCGAATTTTATGAATAATTTCATCCCATCTATTTTCGTCGTTTACCATTGTTCGAAGACTAAGTCATCTTTCAACCTGTCCATTCGCTCGAGGTGTTGTCGCGGCTACATTACAAGTTTGATAGCTAACTGTTTACAGTATTTTTGAAATTCGTTGCTTGTATAACAAGTACCCCTGTCACAAATGATTCTACGCGGAACACCAAAAGTGTCAACAATACTCTCAACGAATTTTATCAAAGGTTTTGTCTTTGTGCTTTGCACGGCTTTGAGAAAAACGAATTTTTTGAAACTGTTAGATACCTCTCATATTTTATCACTGGTCCATGTTATTTAATACCAAAGTTATGTATCTAATGTTAAAAGTGCACTTTTCAATAACTTCTTTCAAATAGGTAACACTAATCTTAAACTTATCATATTTCTTGTAACTTGTATTCATTTCGTTTTCCATTTTTTTGTGTCATTAATTTGTAGCCTGGTCTAGCTTAAAATCACCCCTTTTCTCATATTTCATTCTATTGCTGTTCGCTTGTTTCTGTCATCTGTGCACTTAAAACCTCTAGTTTATCGCTTGTGAGAAAACTCAAGATTCTTTTACATATCCATTTCAGTTTCAAAATTCATTATTGATAGATTTATTGCAGTTTCACTTGTCAACCTTATTTTTCTATGTCTCAACGAATACCGTATGTAAAAAATGTCTAAAAGCATCTTGGGGGTAAAAACAGTTGTATATTTAAAAACATATTCAAGTCAGTTAGTCAGTCAGTTGCAGTTTAGACCTTCACTTAATCAGAACCTTTAATTTTAACATTGTACAACCATCACTGTACCAAAGTAAGGGACAAATAAATCAGTTTAACTTACTTCGCTCGCTATTTTTATTATTAAGAAATTGTTATTGTGTCGGCAAACACATAGAAAAGACTGCCTGGTGTCAGAAGCCCTGACAAAACTGTCTACTGCAACAATTAAATACTGATTTTTCGCTTTACTAGGGACAAAAGGGCCTACTTAAAAACAACTACTTATATAATTCTTTATATATTAACGCATTTTGGGAAACCAGTAATTCTGTTTTACAGCATCTAAAGTTTTGTCTAACGCGAAATGGCCTATGCAGTATGAAATTAACCTACTACTTGTCGTCGCCCAAACTTTGGTACCACCCAACAATTTCCTGATTCCGTCTTTTTGTAAACTTTATTTTGTTCTAAAAGATACCCTCTGTGGATTCGTCTTTCTTCTTCATCTAAAGGAATTCGATTAAGTACGTCTTTGAGATATTTTACTCTACTGTCTTGGAATTGAGCCGATAAAACCCAGTCGCCTTCTGTTATGTTTATAGTTAAAATTTCTAATTCTGGTTCCGGATTTGGAATTGAATTTCTACTAAGGGCGTCTACATGTACCATTTTTGTTCCCTTACGGTATTCTATTGAAAAGTCGAATTCTGATATTATTATCCGCCATCTGGCGATACGCGGAATTAAATCTCTTTTTACTAGTGTTGCACGGAGTGCATTACAATCCGTCACGACTTTAAATTTTAAGCCTAATAAATAAACTCTGAATTGTTTTAAAGTATTGACAACAGCTAATGTTTCCAGTTCGTATGAGGAATATCGCAGTTCCTCCTTTGTTGTTTGACGGCTGAAATAAAGTACCGGTTTTAAAGTATTGTTTTCTTGTTTCTGTAATAGCATTCCGCTAATTCCCATCTTACATGCTTCTGTATGCAATTCAGTTTGCGCGGCAGGACTGTATATTGCTAGTAACGGTCTTGTCAGTTTTTCTTTAAGGTTTTTAAATGCTGCGTCTTGATCATCTCCCCAATTGAAAGTAACGTTTTTTTTTGTTAGGTTTGTGAGGGGTCGAGCAATAATAGCAAATCCTTTTATGTATTTTCGAAAATATGAAGTAAGGCCTACAAATTGTCGTACCTGGTGCACATTTGTTGGTATAGGGAAATTTGATACTGCTTCGATTTTCTTATTGCCCGGTTTTATACCGTCTTTACTGATTTATTGTCCTAGATAGGTTACACGATAGGAAGTCAGATAAGTCAGGATGGAAGGAGTAGTAGGGATATAAAGCAGAGGATAGCGCAGGGTCGTGGTGCTGGTCACTTCTATGCTCGCGAACGGTTAATTTAGAAATTCGAAAAAGGTTGTTAAAGGTGTATGTTTGAAGCACGGCGTTGTACGGGTGCGAAACATAGACAGTAGGCGCGCCGGAAAAGGTTAGAAGCTTTTGAAATGTGGTGTTATAGGCGGATGATGAGGATAACGTGGGTAGAAAAGGTTAGAAGAGGTATTGGAAAGAATAGGAGAACAGAGGACTATGGAAATCAATAAAAAATAGGCGATCGGTTGGTAGGACACCTTCTCAGGCATGAAGGTCTAGTCAGAGACATATTAGAGGCAGAAACAGGAGTTAAGAGGGGTAGAGGTAGACCTAGATTAGATTATTGTTCGCAAATATTTAGGGATGTGGGTTGTTTTAGTTTTAGGGAAATGCGAAGTTTAACTCAGGATAGGAAAGAGTGGAGGTACGTGTCCAACCAGTCTTAGGACTGACGACCTTATGATGATGATGACGTTAATGTTCTCGTTTGTACTAGAGGTCATTACGTGAACAGGAGTGTAGGCGCTTGCCACCATCAGGTGAACCGCTTAAAGGCAGACGGCTAAAGTCTCGATCCAAGAGTCGACCTCCTGATTGGGTTTGTTGCATATATTTCAAGTACAGAGCAGACGCGAAACGCTGTTACCAGCATTGCACATCTTTGGTAGCCAGAAGAAAAACACCGCCGTCAAAACGCGCGATGGTTTCACTGTGGTAAGCAATTACACGCTGCAAATAACACTTCTATCGCTATCTACAGAGCTGTTCGATGGACAGTGGATTTTGGATTTCATCGTCCATTCACGTGGATATTTTGGAAAGCAGACGTGCCGTATCCAATTTTAGGTCAGGCGTATTAGCGCATTTTGATTTAGTGCCACATTTGAAATGCAAAGGGTTGGTCGACAACTTAAAAATTATTCCTACTGTGTTTAGTATTAGTTTAGTCTACCCATATCACTCCTTTGCGCATATAATCTCGAAATTCCCACGTGACGTTCTATATACAGCAATAACCAGTCCTCCCATAATGCATATACGAGGGTGGATTGATAAGTTTCCGGCCTGACCAAGAAAAACAAGGTTTTTAAAAATTTTTTTTTTTTATTTCTCAACATAATCTCCTCCAAGGCTGATACATTTCTCATAGCGGTGTTCCAGTCTATTAATGCCATCTCTATAGACTGATTCGTCAAGCTCCTCAAAATAACCATTTACAGCTTCGATTACTTCTTCATTGTCCGCAAATCTCTTACCGCCAAGCCATTTTTTGAGATTAGGGAACAGAAAATAGTCACTCGGGGCTAGGTCTGGAGAGTAAGGAGGGTGCGGCATCAATTCAAACTTTAGATCGTTGATTTTAGCCGTCGCAACGATTGACGTGTGCGCTGGTGCGTTATCGTGATGAAACAAGATTTTTTTCTTCGCCAGATGAGGTCGTTTAATTTTCACCTCGTGGCTCAAACGTTGCAATAAGTCTGCGTAGTATTGACCAGTGATAGTATTACCCTTTGCAAGGTAATCAATGTATATAATACCTCTTGCATCCCAAAAAACAGTAGCCATAACCTTGTTCGCCGAAAAAATTGTTTTTGCCTTCTTTGGAGTTGGTTCCCCTGGTCCAATCCACTGTTTAGACTGTTCTTTGGTTTCAGGAGTGTAGTGGTGGACCCACGTTTCGTCAACGGTTACGAATCGACGCAAAAATTCGCTTGGATTACGCTTATACAATGACAAATTTGCGGTAGAAATGTTTTTTCGAATCAATTTTTGGTCGACTGTTAGCAAACGCGGCACCCATCTTGCACAGAGCTTTTCCATATGCAAATGTTGGTGCAAAATATGTTGCACACGTTCATATGACATCTTACAGGTCTCAGCTATCTCACGCACTTTCAATCTGCGGTCTCCCAGCACTATTTGATGAATTTTTTCGATCATATCTGGAGTTGTGACCTCAACGGGGCGTCCTGAGCGAGGCCCATCAGAGGTGCTCACACGACCCTTTTTA